CACACACACACACAAAACCCCACAATCAGGAGATGCTCTGCTGTCATCCATTTTTGCACTATTTGGTTTTTTATAGTTAAAAAAGGGAACACTAATGAATCATTTCTGCATATGCCCTCATCGACCCCTATTCTCTGGAAGCAGCTCAATTTCCCCCCACTCAATGACAGAGAGGCTGGAGAGAGGGTTTAGTTTTCACCCTCTCACCAGTGCCATCGCTGCAGTCCCTCCTCCTCCTCCCTCTTCTTCTCTCCAGTGAAAACACAGGACCACATGTCAATTCTCAACAGCCATTAATATACACCCAGAATATCCTCGGCTATTTTTGGTTTGCATTAAGCAGACTGATAAGCGCCAGGAATGCTTTGTAGTCCTTTTAAGACTCACCGCACTGCATGAAGTGCACAAAAAATGTCTCCTGATTTTTTTCCCCTCCTCCATAACCTTCAGCATAAATGCAGTTTAGATCAGGTAAAGTCTATAACTCATTTCATACTTGCATTTAGTAATAGTAATAATAAAAAAGAAACAAGAAAGTCAAACTAAACCAGTCATGCGACTTTTTTCAGAGATCTTACCCAACTTTGACTCAATTCGCTCCGACTTTCTGCCGCTCTCATGCGTCCTGTGAGTGCAGGAGGACTTCCAGCGCCACATTGTACCACCCCGCATCTGCAGTCTCCTCCCCGTCCAGTCCAGCCCCGGCCTCCAGCAACGACCAGCAACAACCCTGTCAGTGAAGAGCTATGCAGAAGTGGAAGCTATAAACTCTGTGAAAGTATGAAATTGAAGGGTAAGTTCACATGATCCGTAGTGCTAATTTCCAGCTCCGTGTTTTATTCTTGTGCTTCCAGGATAGTTTAGCATGATTTACATTTCTAAAAATAATCCTCATTTTTCTTAATATGGGCACTGGTGCAGCCCTTTCATGTAGTTCATCTACTGCTTGAAACAAGACTTTTAGCTATCTTCCCATATTATTTTTAGATGGCTTTCTTCTGATTGGATGGCCTGTGCAAACAGAAGGTCTGGACAGCGGGTGGGTGGGGCTTCTGTGCTCACAGTCTGTGATGTCCCCCTTTTACTGATAAAACAAGTGACAAAAGTACAAAAAAATTTTTCACCCAGAGCAACTAATTGTTTATTACCTTGAACCTTTGGCAATCTTTAACACACATGTGAGCGCCCACAAATGTACAGTATAACACTCCTAACATATCAGGGTTGAGTCACACCAGTTTTTTGGTCCTTTTTTCCTGGCATTGATGTCTTGTATATAATGTCAGCACATATAAATACCAGCCATGTTTTCCTTTATACAATACAACTGCATGTGGGTCCTTGTTAAATTCTGTACACATAGAAAGTTTTTAAATAATCAGGCCTCATCACATCTTAAAGACCTCGTAGATCGCTCCCAGACTGCAGGCTTAATTGTGGCAGAGCCTTCAGCTTTAAGGTCATTCTTCTGTGAAATCAGCTCCCAGCTTGGTTTTGGGAGACAGACCCCCTCTAAATTTTTAGATTTTAAGCTTTTTGGTAAAGTCAGGGCTCGATCAGGGGACCCTGCTGCTGCGATAGGCTCAGGCTGCTGGCAGACTTCCCATGATGCACTCTACTCCACTTTTTTTCTTCTTCTCTGTCCCATCATCCCACAGCTGGTCTCTTCCAGATGGCTGCCAGAGGCTTGTTGGGGTTTCACTCTAATATCACATTGTATGAATTTGCACTTTATAAAGCTGAACTCCTTTCTTGTGTAAATAAACTCCAGTTTATGCCAAAATTAATTTTAAAATGAGGTTTGTGGGCAGCGATAGCCTTTTCTGTCTCTGTACATACCCACAGCACTGAAAGCAAAGCTCTGCATTGAGTCCTCCAGAGATTAGTCTGCTGTACAGATGACAAACTCCATTTTACAACATAAAGCAGGATTTTAGTGCCCCTTTAATTACAGTCAACATACAATAAGAGTTTTATTGCTGGTTGAAAAAGCTTTGAAATGCTTCAGATGGTTCAACTCATTTGGCTCTGCTCAACAGTGACACCCAGAGGACACCGAGTCAACGTCGTAGTAGTAGTAGTAGTAGTAGTAGTAGTAGTAGTAGGAAGACAGGAGAAATAATCACAAGTGAAAGACCGCAACCAGAATTTAAACTTATTTATTTCCATCAAAACAAAGACTGATGTCAGTTTGCTGGACGATCTGAGGGAACGTGCCTGTGAACCAGCTGCTAACATGAAAAGCAACGAGCTAAAAGACACACAAAGAAATGCCTGGATTTTACTCTGCAGCATCAAGTACACAAACACACAGTAGAGTTGGAGATAAACACCTATTTTATGGTACATGTAAGACTCAGACGCTCTCTCTCCTTCATACTGTACATGTGTGTTTATGTCACACCAAGTTCTCCAACCACACACACACACACACACACTTCTGCTACAGCTGACTGCAGGATGTCGTGGTGGTGGTGGTGATACATGGTGCACTGGCCCAACAGACCTGAAGAAGCATTTTTTGATCATTATATAACTTAGTCATGGAGGGATAAGAAGATCCAGAGGATAAATGAGGTTTCAGACAGCAGCTGCTGTCTTCTCCTTGTATGTGGCCATCATCTTCTTGATCTCAGCGATAGCTTTTCCTGGGTTCAGGCCCTGACAGGAAGAGCACAGAAAACACAAAAGCTTATTCACACATCTGAGTAGACTCTGTACGAAGCTGCTCAGATGTACCTGAAGTGTCAGCAGTGCAGAGAGCTTACCTTGGGACAGGTCTTGGTGCAGTTCATGATGGTGTGGCAACGGTAGAGCGAGAAAGGATCCTGCAGCTTGGACAACCGTTCTTCTGTGTACTCGTCTCGTGAGTCAATCATCCAGCGGTACGCCTGAAACACGACAAAGGTTTACTACACAGCCTTGCTGATTCAGACTATAACAGACCATCCTGCATATTAAAGTGCTCAAACACACACCTGCATGAGCACAGCAGGCCCGAGGTATTTGTCTCCGTTCCACCAGTAACTTGGGCAGCTGGTGCTGCAACAGGCGCACAGAATACACTCATACAGCCCGTCCTACATGGGAGAGAAGTAAGTAAAGATATGCTTCCTTAATGTGCTGGAAGCCTGAATGTTATGGGACAGTGAAAAAACAAACAAAGACAAATGTACCAGCTTCTGCCGGTCCTCCACAGACTGCAGGTACTGTTCCTTCCCTTCCTTGGACTCATCCTTCTTCTTCAGGTAGGGTTCGATGGACTTGTACTGGGCGTAGAAGTTACTCATGTCCTGCAAACACATTGCTACACTAATGAATCCACCAAACTGAACTGTCTACTCAGGTGGCTGCGGCTCAGATGATAGAGGTGGTCGACTACCAATCAAATGGATCAGCTGATCGATCTCAGGCTCCTCCAATCCACGTGTGGAAGTATGTGTGCGAATCACTCACATTTTATTGTAATTATAATTTTGGCTTCCAGTGACTATTATAGCAAGATAAGACCAATAAAACGATTATTATTAGCCTAATTTTTATTTTCCTATTTATTTAAACTTTTTCTAAGTCTATCATCTTTAATAATCATTGAAGATCTTAAACAATATGAATGTGCAATTATGATTTATTGCTGTAATCAAGCAGCCTTACGTTCAAATGCTAAAAAAAACCCCTAAAAACCCCCCAAACTGATCTGCTGTTATTAAACAAAATCTGCCTCAATTTACATTTTGCTGGCTTTTAGCTTCCACAGAGAAGCAGTGAGCAGTAGCTTCTTCACACCCAATCAGTTCAAAGCAACATTTAACAGTCGGGTCTACTGATCATTAAAAAGGGATGCCCAGGATTAGTCGACCACACAATTAAGCATTGCTGTCCTTGCTAGCTGGCGGCAGAAACACTAGTTGGTTAAACAAATTATTCAGATTTTATTTGTGCACGTCGCTGGTTAACAGCAGGGTTTTACATTCATCCAGCCACCCGACAAACAAGAACCACCCCTCTCCATCCCTCCTCTTCTCTGTGTTGGGAAGGTGTTAACAAGAAAGATGGAATGTCAGACAATGCAAATTCAGCCCCTTTATTAATCTCTTGAGTGTTTCTGATTTTTAGAACAGTCTGATTGATTTCTCCTTCTCCTGTTTAATCATCTAGAAAATTAAGAATCAGGAATATCCGCATCACATAATCTACAGCACCAACACTCCTAAAAAGACATCCACGCATCTGATTCATTAGATCTGGCTTAAAAAAGGTTGGAAATAAAACGAATAAAGAAAAATGTAACGGTTTTCATGAATGCTAATGTGTTTTTTCACTGTTAAAAACAAAACAGTGTAACATTTGTTATTGCAACACTAAATTTTGCACATGCAAAATAAAAAAGCAACCAGCTGTTAATGACTTTAAACTCTTAGCACTTGTGTGTGATAATGTGATGGCTGTGCTAGCTTATAAAAGAGGACTGAAGTAAATGCTTCGTTCCAGATGTTCACAGATGTTCGGTGAAGCTGACTTACAGGTACCAGGTCCTTGACGACGTACATGTGTGGCAGAGGGTAAATCTTAGTCGGCTTGCTGAGGCTGGAGTCGATCTTGTTGAGGCAGGCGAGTGTGTTTCCTCCATTGATGTTCATCGCACAGGACCCACAAATACCTGGTTAAAGCAGAATAAAAATTATAATAACAACATTTATTAATGACATTTAACTTTTGAGGACAACAGCAGATGTGGTACAACCGGTCTGTGTGCAACTCTTGCTTGTGGTGTTGTTGCTCGTCAACCAAACAGTGAAACTGAGTAATAAAAACAATGACTGCTGCTTTTCATACTGTATTTCGTTTTTACCGTTAATGTTTTTTGGGGGTTTTTGCACTTCTTACTTTGAGCTGAAAAGATGGGCTTCTTAAAGATGGGCTTTGTCAGTCTTCAAGAGTATAAAAGCTTTGACTCAGGTGCTCTAGACTCTGTAAACCCCTTTTAAAGGTGCAACTCCAGCCCCTGTGTTACTGACCTTCTCTGCAGGAGCGACGAAATGTCAGAGTGGGGTCAATCTCATTCTTGATCTTAATGAGCACATCGAGAACCATTGGGCCACAGCTGGATGAAAAAAACAAAACAAAAACACAGTAAGTTAAAAAAAAATAAAAATCTGTAACATGAAATCGTCAAAGCAGCTTGTCTGATGTGTTTACTTGATCAGCTGAAACCCAGACAGATCATACGGCTGAGCAGCATTACTCAGCATTGAGCAGTGTCACGCTGACAAACATGAGCTGAGAGTTTAATAAAGCTGATTAGAGAACAGGTGAAGGAAGAGGACTGAAAATATGCCCGGCTGTCAGGGCCACCTGTTACTGTTACTGAAGCCACCAGAGAGCATTAGTTAGGCCATTAACAATGCCCTTTGTTTAGACCCGCATATATTCTCAGCAACATCCTAACCAACAAACATGCTAACCTGTGAAAAATGAAGACTCTGCTGGGATATCTGGGCTAAAATGGAAAGCTGCTGGACTGTTGAGTTTTAATAAAACTTTCTCTAATCAATGACAGGAAATTGCTCTGCCTGGATGCCAGATGTCCAAATCTATGACACTCACGTGTTGAGGTCAATCTCATAGGTCTGCATTCGGGGTTTGTCCCCTGGAGTGTCTGGATCCCATCTGTACACCTGGAACTTCTTTACCCTGGGCTGCCCTGCTGGAGCTGCTGCTGTTTGTGCATACCGTACCGCCTGATCACAGGGAAGACAGGCGAGAAATCAAATATAATAATAATTTAAAACAAACAAACAAACACACACACAGACTGTCCAAGCCGGGGCTCGAACCGGCAAACTTCCGATTACAAGGCGAACTCCCAACTCTTGAGCCACGATCGCCCGAAGTCCTCTTCAATCATGACCAGGATGAAGTACCTGCTCCAATCACTACATTTAGCGTTGTCGAAATAACCTTTAATCAATACCAATAAATATCCTGTATTAATAGCTGTCAGACATGGTTTCATAAAACACTAACTTCATTGCAATAGAATAATGCCATCATTTTTTTCGGATTATCTTTTTAAATATATTTTTCTGCACAAAGCTCTATTATTATTTACTTTTAGTGTTAGACATACATTCCAACACATTTAGCGTTAACCAGCCGAACCATAATTAACTTAAGTTTAGCTAACAACTACACTATGTAACCCGGACTTCAGAACATAGACGGAACCCTCACGTAGAGAGCTGTAACCGGTCTAAACGCTGACACCGGGCCGGCTGATGACAGCAGCGGTTCGCGATGAAACTATTTACTTTTCCATAATAACCGTCAACATACCAAGAGTCCTGCGGGAGAGCGGAATGCCAAAACACCGCACCGAGTCAAGGACGTAAAACTGGCGACCGACATTTTGAATGGTCTCTCCTTTGACCTCCGCAGCTCGCTATCCCAGCATTCAACTCAGTGGGTGCGTTTGCTTTGTACACCGACGTGTTTCGCACTGAAGCAAACACGTCCTTTAGAAAGTGTGTATTTTTACGGATCTGTAATCTAATGTTTGACATCTTATTTTCAGGCTTTTGTTTTGTTTTTTGTTTTGTGAACCGTAGCCGTCTGGTGCAATTGATGAAGTTGTTTGTGTTAAATTAGCCCGCGCGCCGCCTCTGACAGAATTTTAAATTGAACGTACCCAGAATGCGCCTCGGTTTGTCGACGTACGGCGTGCGGAGTTATTGAGCTCTCATAACACCGAGAGTGCTTGGTTGGAGGTCACTTATTACGTGTTTATTCGTTTGAAAGTGGACACTGCGGTGAGGTGACGGGGGGACTGAAATGGTGTTTTTGACGCTGTCTTGTTGGATCAGAAGCCGAGGACCCGACAGATACTGGAAGGTCCAGGAGGTCCTCAAGCATGCACGGGTACGTCTATTGGCTATTTCCTGGAGTGATAGCTGCTAGAGCTCATTCATGATGTTTGTAGAAGCTGTGGTGTTTTGTTTATTGCATCCTCGTCGTGTTAAAGACTTGTAACAAGTGTTGTTGTCACGTCTCTGTCATTTCTTCCAACAGCACTTCAGAGGCAGGAAGAACCGCTGCTACAGCCTGGCCGTGCTGGCTGTCAGGAGGGCGTTCGTGTACGCCACCAAAGCTCGGAAACTTAAGAAGCGCAACATGAGGACGGTAAGAAGACCCAAATATTACTGCATGGCATTTGGATTTTTTTTCCTGATAGTAGCAATCGTAGTCTAAGTAATAGACTTTTCAGCAGATTCTGGGTGCAAATATATTTAAAACAAACACTAATGATTGCTTTTTGCT